GATCTGCAATCGGCCATTTCTCTAAGAAGCCCAGGTTCCATTTAGTGGGAAATGAAGTGGATAGGATTGTAGGTCTTCTTGACCTTGAAGCAGGTCCCTAGCCAGACTCTGACTAGGCTCATGTTCTCTCTGTCCACTGGCCCCCTCCCCACAGGCACCTGTTCCGAGTCTAACCCCAAGTCCTTCTCCACAGTTCTGCGGCCTGTCAGCTCTCCTGGGGAGACTGGCCACAGCCAGCCACGGAGTCATTCCATGCCACACCACATTGTCCTGTGGCCGAGGCCACAGAAAGATGCCTGGTCAGGGAGACCTGGCAGCACCTAGAATGTGAGGCTAGGAAGCGGCTGGTGTGTGCTTTGCTTCAGGGACAGAGATGCCATTTGCTTGGCTTCTTTGAACTTGAGGATGGGTGGGGCACATGCAGTCCCTGGCATTCCTTTAGTGCCAGAAAATTTCCAAAGTGTTTTCACAGCTGTGGTATTGAACTTGATCCTGACAACCGCTGTGAGAAAGGTAAGACGGGTTGTGTTATCCTTGATTTCCAGACACGAGACTGGGGCTCAGACAAAATGCAGGCCAGCTTGTCCCAAAGTCCCGCAGCCTCTGAGTGGTGGAGGCCGTCCCGGAGCCCAGCAGTCCCGGCTCCTTGTCTGGTGTTCTTTCTGCTCTGGATGTGCTGCACCTTTGACAGGGAAAGGGGCATCCTGGTAGGACGGGGCTTCTCACTGTCAGGGGACAGGTGCCTGCAGGGCTCAAGGAAATGCACTTGAGCACACAGGTCTGTGGCCAGATGCAGCAGCACCATGGACACATCATATGAGCCTTCAATGGACTTGAATCCGACTATCGCTGGACTATAAAATGTGGTCATTCAAACGAGACAGACCCCTTCCCTTCTTTCCCTGTCTTTTGCACTAGATTTCGGCTTCCACTACCCCAAGGGAAGGCTGGCCACAACACAAAGCAAAGAGAAAACCAAGAGGCTATGTCTTAGCTTTTGAGCATCTAAGGGTCTGGGTTGTGGCAGTCGAAGGTATTTCCAAGGACTTTCAAACCCTTCGGTTCCCTTAAATGTGACAGCTGTTCTGTTCTGTCAGGGGCCGTCTCTGCGCACAGTAGCCTGGGTCTCCTCCATACTCTCACTTCTCATTTCTCTCTGTGCCACACCCCCACAGCGTGGATTTTGTGAAGTGGTCCTCGCAGGGGATGCTGAGGATGAGTCCGGATGCCATGAATGCCCTTTTCAAGCCAACCATTGACAGCATCATTGAGCATCTCCGTAAGTATGAGCCAGGGCTCGGCCACTCAGTGGGGCAGAGCTGAATGGGGACTGACTTTTCCGGCATGACCAGCTAGAGCCTGTGAGGTCAGACTGGCAGGGGGTCAGGGGCTGGGAGCCAGAGGCCGGGGCCTGGGCATGTATGCGGGAGGTTGCTGGGCAGAGGCTCTCCAGATCCCTCCCCTCAGGTACCGCACAGCAGCCCAGAGCCTGTCTTCACCTGGGCCTTGAGTTTGGCTTCGAAAGTCAGGGAGCCGGGAACTCTGCAGCAAGCAGTATTATCCTGGAGTGACAGGGCCTAGGGAATGCGCAGTCTTTGCTTTATCAGGATGCGTGGGGAACCAAAATCTTTGCTGGGGAGGGGGCACACTTGCGTGGACCAAAGAAAGGTCTCCTGGGAGGGAGCAAACAGAATCTAGCCCTCAGGGGCCCTCCCTCAGGGACACACAGTAGACTCCCCGGGGACCTTTTTCAGTATCCAGGCTCCCCATTCACTTCCCTCCCCACACTGACTCAATCAGAACCTCTTTGAAAACCAAAGAATACTTTTTATAACAGCCTGCCTTGACTTAGTTAGCAGGACCACAGGTTTGGAGAATGTCAGGAATATTTATTTATGCCTAACAAATTATTCCTTGAAACGATCACCACCTAGCTGTTAAAATGTTTCCACTTAGCAATAGCTTTGGTTTTTGTCCCTGAGCATATAGGTGTGCAAACCCCCTTCTGAAGACCATCTCTACAGGGACACCTGGGTGGCCCAGTTGGTTAAACATCCAACTTCGGCTCGGGTCGTGATCTCACGTTTCGTGGGTTCGAGCCCCGCGTTGGGCTCTCTGCTATCAGCTCAGAGCCTGCCTCAGATCCTCTGTCCCCTCTCTGCCCCGCCCCCACTCACGCTCTCTCTCTCTCTCTCTCTCTCTCTCTCTCTCTCTCTCTCAAAAATAAACATTAAAAAATTCTTAAAATAAAATTTAAAAAATAATAAAAAAATAAAATAAAGGCCAGCTCAAGAAAAATTCTGTTCAGCCAGCTCAGACAGGTCTGAGTGGGCCCAGTGGGGCCACATGGTTTTGTCTATTTGCCGCATTCTTAGGCCACCAGTACCCCTCAGCAGCTGGCTTTTGGTGATAGAGTGCTGTCCCTTCCTCTTTGCTTTCAGGGGACCTGTTTCAGAAGCCCGAAGTGTCCACGGTCAAGTTCCTCTTCCTGGTGGGAGGCTTTGCGGAGGCGCCCCTGCTGCAGCAGGCGGTGCAGGCTGCCTTCGGGGACAAGTGTCGCATCATCATCCCCCAGGACGTAGGCCTCACCATCCTCAAGGGCGCCGTCCTCTTCGGCCTGGACCCCGCCGTCATCAAGGTGCGCCGGTCGCCCCTCACCTACGGGGTGGGCGTGCTGAACCGCTACGTGGAAGGCAAGCACCCCCCCGAGAAGCTGCTGGTGAAGGACGGCACTCGCTGGTGCACCGATGTCTTCGACAAGTTCATCTCGGCCGACCAGTCGGTGGCCCTGGGGGAGCTCGTCAAGCGTAGCTACACCCCGGCCAAGCCTTCCCAGCTGGTCATCGTCATCAACATCTATAGCTCCGAGCACGACGACGTGAGCTTCATCACCGACCCGGGGGTAAAGAAGTGCGGTACCCTCCGCCTGGATCTCACAGGGACCAGCGGCACAGCCGTGCCCCCCCCGGAGGGAGATCCAGACCCTCATGCAGTTCGGGGACACAGAGATCAAGGCCACAGCCATCGATATAGCCACCTCGAAGAGTGTCAAGGTTGGGATTGACTTCTTAAATTACTAACGGGCCCTCCCGCCGCCTGCCCCGCCCTTGGACCCGGCTCACCTGCATCTGCTGACCTCAACCCTGACTGTTCTTTCCCTGTCCTCGACCCTCAGCATCGCCCACCTGGATTTCAGCAGGGAAGATGGGAACCACCAGGGCTGGAAATAATCAGGGGTTTTCGAGGGCACACTGGAGTCAGAACAACTGTCGGAAATCGAGACTGAGGTTTGGGAATAAGAAATCCGAGGATCCTGGGAGAGCAGCTCGTTTTTATGGGTACAAAGTGGTGAAACCCACACCCGTCAAGGGAATCGGTCCACTTCTGCAGCTGCGACTCAGCTTGCTTTGAACGCATCTCCGGTAAGCAGGACTCAGGATGCCTTGTCGCTGTCTTTCTAGGTTGGATGTGAGATCTCTGCGTCAGGAGGAGATTCTTCATCTATTTGAGACGTTTCTTTGTACGTTTCTTGGGGGATGGCAGTCAATATAAAATACCACCCATCTGCAGTTAATTTCTTGTCATCACCATGTGATTGAATGTGGTGATTCAGCAGGAGCTTGGAGCATTTTTAGCTGGTAGGAGAAGACTGCCCACGCGGGGCACTATTTTAGGTTCTCGTAATTTGAATTCTGAATAGGTTCAGTGAGGAGTAACGATAGCCAGCTAATCGGCTAGGATTTGAGTGAGTGGGAGGACAGACACCTTAACTTTTCAGCAGGTGAAGACTTGCTTTGAGGGAAATGGACATTAAGGCACTGCTGACTTCTGCCGAATCATATGCTGCGACATCGTTCCCCGGATACCAGATCCTGACTCCTGGGTTCATAAGTGATTCGAGTTAACCTTAGTAGACTTCAGGTGTCAGGAAAGGAGCCTGCAGTCTGCGTTGTTCACATCAGCAAGCCCAGGATCTGGAACGGCTCCACACCTCGACAAGCGTACATGTTTTAAACTAACTCCCTCCTCGCCGTCATCTCCCAGAGCGTTTCAGCCACGTAGTCCCACATTTCAGGAGGAATACACTCGTGATACATGGGTAGAGAATCTGCATTATGAAACGTTTCCCTGGAATCTTCAGGTTTTTTTTTAAGTGTATCTACAAGGAATTCCTAGATCTGTCCTTGATGAATTCAGTCAGGTCTTTTTCAAAGCAGATTGACCTGTGGATCGCCCTCGTGCCTGGCCGCTTCTTAAAAGTGGGTTCCTGGAGGGGCGCCTGGGTGGCGCAGTCGGTTAAGCGTCCGACTTCAGCCAGGTCACGATCTTGCGGTCCGTGAGTTCGAGCCCCGCATCGGGCTCTGGGCTGATGGCTCAGAGCCTGGAGCCTGTTGCCGATTCTGTGTCTCCCTCTCTCTCTGCCCCTCCCCCGTTCATGCTCTGTCTCTCTCTGTCCCAAAAATAAATAAACGTTGGGGGGGAAAAAAAAAAGTGGGTTCTTGGAGCCTATTCCTTTTACAAATGGAAGCTGGGTCTTGAGGAGGGGGACCAGCGCCTGCGTTTGCAGTGGATACCACGGGGACTGTGGTTCCAGGGGAGTCCGGGAACTCCTGACTTCAGGTTTTGTTGCAAGCTGAAATCCTGACCACCAGCACCTGCAGTCTTCCAGTCTGGGGCTCCCTGACAGACAGACAAGTGAAGAATCGGGGTCTCACACTTTGCCCTTTGTGAGCAAGGCGGGGGCTCCACCTGGCTTGGGGGTGGCGCTCTTGGCGCTCACAAGAAGGGCCTGCGAGGGAAGAAGGTTGGAAGGAAGGCACCCTGCGAATGGCCCGAGGGACCCACTGGCTTGTCTGCTGGGACTCATTCTGATCTTAAATCACCGGAGCCATGCATAACGAATGAACGGAAGATGAGCTAAGGAACTAACTTTGAATGCAAGCTGGATTCACCCACCCATTCCGTCGCCAATATGCGGATTTGACGCCGCTTTTCCAATGTCATTTGAACACGTCTTCTTGTTCACGTGGCCTGCTGCAGAATTCCCTGCTCGAATGTGAAACTCGAACAAAGCACCGAACTGGAGAACGCTGGTCACATAACTTAGTAGCGGGATCTCGTGTCCAGGCATCAAGGTGTGTTTACTAGGCTTCTCTTCTGCCTGCTCTGCTTCAAAAGCTAAATGTTCTGGGTCTTTCTTTGATGTTGCCAGCCATACTCTACAAATAAGACTTTTTGATTTAGTTATAAGTAATATAATTTTATGTACATACAATATTAGAATATTGTACAGAATCTTTATTTCTACAATGTGCTTTTCTTGTCAAAAAAAAAAAAAAGAAAGGAAAATGCTCCTTGAATTTTATTGATGACATTGCTGCCTTTTCATTTCCATGGCTTTATTTTTTAATTGCGCTTACTTATCGATCTGTACCGATGCTAAGCTATGGACCGTGTACGCAAGGCCAAGCAATAGTCACAGGTGCCAAGGGTCAGAATACTCTGGAAAAAGGGACAACGGCTGGATCAACAGCTTCGTCAGACCTTGCCTCACTTACATCCTTCCCAAAGGCTCACGGTTTATGTTTAAAGGAGCATAATAATGTATCGATGCTCCTGTCCGGTCTTTGAGAGCTGGACATTCTGGTTCTATAAGCAACAGGACTGTGCAGAAAAACCAATGAAACCTCTTTGCGTCCCCGCAGGGCTTATCAGCTTCTCGTGGGGCAGGGCGGTCACTCTGAGGGCAAAGTGGGGTCCGTGTGCAGCACCGTCAGGATGACGGGGTTACACGCAAGGAATCGAGTGGTGCGCAAATCCAGCCTTTCTGCTGGATTAAGTGTGAAAGTAATTGGCCACTGTAAGGCCGTCCCACCTTTGCATCAGGCATGTCTCCTTGTCTATGGTTTCTCTTTAGTGCGTTGGTTGAAATTTGCACTCTTGGCAAATAGGTGATGGAGGGGGGGGGTGATAACTTTACTGGACTTTCTTCTGGCCCCAGCAGTCGACCCGATTAAAGGGAATCCCCAAATCCATCCCCCCTCTCCCTCCTGCCCGTGGAATGACATATTCTAGAATAAGAACACTGGATGAATACGCTTAGACACGTTTTCTAATCTCAGAGAGTTTCTAAAAGGCCTGTTGTCATGACCGTCACTCAGATGTCCCTGTCCCTGGTATCTGATCATGTTTTTGGAAGCAAAACTGTCAGAGATTTCCTTTATAACTGCCCTTTCTGTACACAGCAGGCATTAATAAATGCTGAATGACAGACCAGTGACAGACAGAAGATAGGCAAGACAGGAGACATACAGGCACTTTTGCAGAGTGATGACTGAGACTGAGTCCAGATTACAGAGCCTGCCCTACCCCTAGGATGTTATTTAGATCAAGTTTAGCTTCTAGAGTCTAGGACTGGTTAATTGCCAGGGTGGCAAAGAATCGCATGCCTCAATATAAACGGGAGTCAAAATGCATAATTAGTTGAAGATCGAATTTCACAGTTGTAGAGATGACGTCGCTGTGGTCAAGCTGCATATTTATGCTGGGAAATGACTTAAGTGGATGACTAGTATAAACGTCGTTGTCCGTTAGGTCACGTCTCTCATCTGCTTGGACTATGGAATTTCATTCTAAAATATCAGCCACTGGGGTCTCATTCATTCACTACAGGATAAATTCACACTCCACAGAACCTTGCAGCTGTTCAAACTTGACGAGATTGTACCTGCAAACTCTGTCTTCACGGATGTCTAATAAAGCCAAACTCTGGATCTCGTGTGGCCCAAGTTGGTTTTTTTTTTTTTTCCACTATGAATTTGTGAATGGAATTATAGATGCATCGTCGCTGACTTCCCCCTCCACCCCATCTCCAGTGGGGTGGAGTTTTCAGATCTTGTCCTCAATGTTGCAAGCTTTTTAGCTTTTTTTTTTTTTTTTTTGAATTAACTTTCATTCCAACTAGACTGGCTCCATCCATGTTCGTGGGCCCCTAGAGAAAGTGGTCTAGCCAGACAGAAGGCAGATGAGCCAGGGGGGCCTCTGACATCTCCACCACACCCAAATGAAGGGTGTTGAAAAAGAAGCAGAGGGGCGCCTGGGTGGCGCAGTCGGTTAAGCGTCCGACTTCAGCCAGGTCACGATCTTGCGGTCCGTGAGTTCGAGCCCCGCGTAAGGCTCTGGGCTGATGGCTCAGGGCCTGGAGCCTGTTTCCGATTCTGTGTCTCCCTCTCTCTCTGCCCCTCCCCTGTTCATGCTCTGTCTCTCTCTGTCCCAAAAATAAAAAAAAGAAAAAAAAAAAAGAAAAAGATGCAGAAATGTCTAGAACTGGTGCCTTGCCCTCTGCTATCCTAGCAGGCATGCCAAGCTGGCTGCTGTGTCTAGAGCCTCAAGTTTATTCCAGGCTCTATGTCTGGGTAGCCCTCTAGAGTGGGCTCTAGAAACTTCTGGAGAGTCTGTGGTGGACTCCTAGGATGCTGAGGGAGGTCTACATGGATTCTTCTTAAGTGGTACCTCATCTAAAGTTCACCTCCCAGGAAGCAGAGGCAGGGAAGGCTGGGGGATGCTGTACAACAAACCAACTTACCGGAAACTGGTGTTTTCGGTGGCCACGTTTCGGTTTTCTCAGGCAGTCTGGAAAGGTCCTCATTCCCTCTATGTGGGTCACACAGCGGGCATCTTGGTTTCCATCCAATGGGATGAAGGCTCAGGTCCCCTTTAGTTCCCATAAAATAAGGACGATTAGAAAGGAGTGTGGCCCCCACTTCCCTGTCACCACTCCCCCTTCATTTTGGTGCATTGCCCCTTTCTGCAGCCCTACCTGTCCCAGGGGGGCAAGGGTGTCAAGGGAAACCTCCAGCCACGTAGGCTTCTCCTCCCCTCCCGGGCTGCTTCCCGTCCCCCCGCCAGTCCCTCACACAGCCCTGACTCCTGGAGGAAGTCCCCGTTGAGACCACCGGGCCCCAACCCAGACGGTGCCACTGTCTACAGCAGTAAAGGCAGCTTTGACCTAGGTCCCCACACGTAGCGCTCTCCCCAGTTACAAAGCCCAGAGGGGCTCAGAGACCAAATATTTACTGCGCCAAGCCCTGGATTTCATGCCGGGGGCCGACGCTGAGCCTGGAGCAGGGGAGGCATCCCCCGCATCCGCTCGTGTTCATCCGCGGCCCCTGGCCTGTGGGCCCGAGGTGACGTCGTCGTGGGCAGGAGGGTTGAGCAAGGGGGAGGGGCATCCAGGAGTCCGGCCCCTCCTCCCCCACCTTGGTGGGGGGGCGGGGGGGGGTGGTGAGCGCACAAAGGCCAGAGGGAAGGCGAAGGCCAGGAGGGCTGTTGGCCGGTGGGCGATCCAGGCCCGCCCAGGTGAGGACGTCGAGTGGGCCGGAAAGAGGAAGTGGGGGGCTGTGACCTCACTTTCCGACCCCTTCCCGGGCCCCCACCCCCAGCACCTCTCCTCCCCACGCTCCTCCTCTCGGATTTCACCGCTCAGAGGAAGCCGCCCAGGCCACCACCCACCTGCGCCAGGTGCGGCCCACAGGCCAGGGCCACGCTTTGGGGTAACAGTTACGCTATAGAGGCCCTAAGGGTTTAGATGTCCCTCCTCGGACCGGACAACCCTCAGACAAGTTACTTAGCTTCTCTGCGCCTTATTTTTCTCATCTGTAAATGGGGCACTCCCATGGGAACTCACCCTTAGGGCAGCTGTGAGGATTTGGCAAGAATACCGTCCCGGGTGCGCTGTGTCACAGCCAGTGTTCTGCAAATGTCTGAGCGTGTTCGAAATGCCCATCACTGCTGCCTAAACCCTGACTGTGGCCCTCCCCCTGAGACCACGTGTCCTGGCGGTGAAGGCCTCACTTTTGAGAAGTGACCTGCTTGGCATTGTAGCACTGGGCAACATCAACGGATGCCCAGATGCAGGAGCTGTCCCTTTTGAGGGGACCCAGGCCATCCTGGAAGAGGGCGGGGGTCTGGCTGGGGGGGCAGCATCCCATCAACATGCTGCAGTGCCCCCCGCCCTACCTCTGCTCACCCATTCTTGGACTCTGTGCCCATCTTTGGGGACTTCTGAGCCCTTCCAGCCAGACCTTATTCGAATTCTTCATTGTTTAGCAGCATCCTTGGCCTCTAACTCACTAGATGCCAGTAGCACCGACCGCATACCCCAGTTGTGACAACCAAAAATGTCTCCAGACACTGCCAGGTGTCCTGAGGTGGCGTTGGGGGACAGCCGAAGTCACCACTGCCACCTTTTCCACCTGGAACCACAAAGGCCCTGGGGCTGGGGGTGCTTCTTCTCTTCCCTTTTCTGAGGTTCCGGAGTTGCACGTGGGGGCTTCTGGGTCCTGCTCATCTTTGTATTTCTAACCTCGTGACAGTTGTTGGCCGCAGTGAGTGTACAGTTCAAGATTGCTGGATGGATGGATGGATGGATGGATGAATGGATAGGAGGTTGGGTGGATGGAGGAGGTCCCAGGAGGGGAGACACTGGGGGAGACACTGGGGGACATGTAAAAGGTGAACGCCCCTTGGTAGTAGGCCACTGGTTTTATCTGCTGGTTCTGTGTTAAGATGGTGGTACTGCCTCCCTTTCCCAACCCCCCCGCGGGGTCATTCTCCTCCCAAGGACTCTAGCACACGTGTGACTTCTTGAGGCCGGGACATTCGATTAGATCATTTCATTCCCTCTGCCCTTCGTTAACAGAGAGTGAGATCATGGAGTCTTCCTCCAAGACCTTCATGAGACACCTGCCAGTCACACCAGGCTATAGTGGTAAGTGGTGACGTGCCCTGCCGATGTGCCCGGCAGAACCGTGGTCCTGCTCACCATCCCTGCCTTGGTCCGCTGTCCGTGTCTTTCTGGCCAGTTGGGCCAGTACAGACACGTTGGCTTCTTTAGGACCCTTGCGGAAAGGGTCCTTTGCCCTTTGCCCAAGATGGCTGATAACGGGGTTCTGATGAATGGAGAGATACAACGTAGGCCAGATCTCCCAGGACGTGGCCTCGTATGCGGGAAGCACCGAATGTCCCTTGAGTGCATTTGGACCAGGATAGACACACTGCTAAGGGGGCAGACACAATGAATAAGCTGAGGCCCTGTCCTTTTTCCCCAAGTCAAGCTTTCTCAAGTGTTGCACGAGGGTTGTTCTTATGGGCCATCCCTTCCTGTGTCCCCCAGAGGGAGAGTGGTCAAGTGCCCCGGTTTGTCTGGAATGGCCCTGGTTTCAGCACTGAAAGTCCTGTGTCCCAGGAAACCCCTAAGTCCTTGTCAAACAGGGATAATTGGTCATTCTACCCAATAGTGCTTCTCCTCAGGCGTCTGGGCTACGGGGGACTTACCAAGTCACGTCCCTGTGACAGATGCAGTGGTCCTCATGGGCACTCCGCTCTCACAGATAGGTGTTCTTAGGAGAGGAGATGCACGGGGAATATTCCAAGGTGCCCAGCCTCACCCCTTATCCCACTGGCTGGTTAAGGGAACAGGCTTTGAGTTCTAACAAACTGAAGTTTCAGTCCCTGCGTGGCCACCGTGTGTGTGATTGTAAGAGTACTTTCTGTGGTAAGTATAAGTGTCTATTAAATGGGTATATTCGTTTCTTAGGGCTCTGTTTATTTTTTAAAAATTCTTTAAAAATACCTTATTTATTTTTGAGAGTGGCAGAGTATGAGTGGGAGAGGGGCAGAGACAGAGAGAGACAGAATCTGAGGCAAGCTCCAGGCTCTGAGCTGTCAGCACAGAGCCCAACGTGGGGCTTGAACTTGTGGAACACGAGATCATGACCCAAACCAAAGTCGGATGCTTAACCGACTGAGCCACCCAGGCGCCCCTCTTAGGGCTGTGTGTGAAACAACAGATACGCTCTCACAGCTCTGGAGGCTAGCAGTCTGAAATCCAGGTTTGGTTGGATCATGTTATCTCCGAAGGCTCTAGAGGAGGGCTCTTCTTTGCTTCCAGTTTCTGGTGGCTCCCGCTGTTCCTTGGCTTGTAGCATCACAGCTTCAATCTCGGCCCCCATCTTCACGCTGCCCTGCATCTCGGAGTCTCTTTCTCAACCCCCTCTCCCTTCTCTTATAATGGAGTGCTTTTGACGAGTATCCTAAGAAGCTAAAGTGTCTGTCCTGGCGAGTCAGCTGGCCAGACATAGACAGTGGACTAAGGCAGAGACAGATGGATTGAGGGCGCATCCTCAGCCAAGGATAATCTCATTTCCCAGTCTTTCATTATGGCTGCAAAGACCTGTCAGGTAAGGTCCCATTCGCAGGTCCCAGGGGTTAGGACTTGGGCACAGCTATTTGGGAGACACAAGTCAAACCTCTACACGGGATAAGGATAGATTTCTCATCAGATTGTTGTGAGGTTGGAAGGAGCCAGCGCACAGGCTATTTAAGACGTCCCGGCCCTTAGTAAGACTCAGCGAGCGTAGCTTGTGGGTCCCCCGTGTGTGTGCACATATACAAGTACATAAAATCTCTGCAGAGCAGGGGAAGCCCTGGTGGCAGGGCCTCTTGGTTTCTATGGTCTCTTCCCCACCACACTGGGGTATCTTTTGACTGCCCCAGGGTTGGGGACACTGGCTGGTGGGTGGAGAACTTCAAGATCAGTTTAGAAATTAGATTCTTCCAGAAGCAGCTTTTCACAGGGCGTAGGAGGCAGGGTTTCTGCTTTTAACTCTGTGGTCAGGTTTTCTTTAGGGACAAAGGCAAAATGTCCGGGCCCCGGGAACGAGTGAGGGGTATTTATGTATTTATCTATCTAGCCATTTAAAACCAAATTCTTAACCAGTTTTCCCTCATCCGTTCTTTAGAAAAAAAAAAAAAACAACAAAAAAAGAGTTTTATTGTGACAATATTATAGTCCCTAGGATTCAGCATCTAGTTTAAATAAACACTTGTGTTTTACCCATACTAATAGTAATGATTACATGTTATTTTGTGGGAAATGGCAAAAAATTGTTCCAGGGGGTGGGCCTCACAGATAATGAATTTACCTTTTTGTGTAATAGGTCTCAGCTTTTAATAAGCCCGCAATTTCCCTCGACAGTCCGACAAAAAAGATCCCAAATTGCATTTGGGATGTGTCAAGGAAAATAAGCTTTCTCTCTAAAAAGATGAAATAATTTCAATTACTCCTCAGACTATCATTTTGGCCCATTAAATGCTTTCCCCATTTGCTGTTCAGACTGACATCAGGGGCTTTGCTATCAAAGAATATGACTGTCATCGTCTTTGTTGAAACGGGCCGTCCCTCCCCAGCTCCGAGGTCATTTTTTTTTTTTTGTGGCCTGGGGAGGGCCCGGCGCAGTGCAAACAGCCCCGCTTGTGTTAATGGCCTTTGGGAAAACGCAGTGTCGTTGGCCCAGGAAGAAATGCCAAGTGGCGGGCTGGGGTTCTGGGGAGTTTCTGCAGGTTCTAATTGCCTCGCTGAAGGCCCTGATGCATCGGCTCTTGCAGGCTTCGTGCCCTACCTTAGCTGCCAAGAATCCACCAGCAAGGACAACATGTCCCACTGCCTGAAAACCTTCCAGGAAAGCACACGACGATATAAACACCAGCTGGAGGAGTTTCACTGCTCAGTGGCCACTGCCCGGAAGCTGAAGCCCGTTTGCTCGGAGGAGACGGTCCTGCGGGAGCTGCATCAGTATTATCGGCAGTATCACCCCCTGAGTTTGGGTACCGGCTCCCGGAAACCTGCCCCCTTCCCCCCCTGGACACAAGTGCAGGGCCCGGCAGGCCCCAGGGGACACAGAATCCAGCACCCGTGCCAAATCCCCAGGTGGTGGTGCGGGATGGAAAGGCTTGGTCTCATAAGATGAGAAAGAAACGTTTCTTGGGGGGGCAGAGGGACACGGTCCCGGTCGGGCAAGAGGGTGCTGGGAACTGAGACCCCGGGCAAGTCACCAGGAGTGTTGGGACCTCACCTGCCCTCTCAGTACGTACGTACACGTGTTAGCTGCTTTGTGCTGGGCACCGTTGTTTCATGAACCGCGACGTCAGTGCTGTGACGGCGAGACTATGATTCCCACTTTAGAGACAGGGAAAGTGAGTCTGCAGAGGTGATGGTGACCCTTGTCTGAGGTCAGACCTCGGCTCGAACCCGGCTCTTCCAGGTGCTAGCTGGGTGGGAAGGGGTTGGCCCTGAACAACCACCGCAAAAGCGATGACAGAAACAACTGACGACGTGATTACGTGTAATGCTAATCACAGCCATGATTTGCCATAGAGGCCTTACGGTCTAAAGGCCTATAGGAAAAGTAACGAACTCCAGAACTGCCTTTATTATTATTACTCTGATTGCTTGGGGTAGCAGACTCACATGCGTGTTGTGCTTTAAAGTTTTCCAAGCCGTAACATCTGCCTTCAGAGTTTAGGATTTAGCCCAGTTCTGTGACTGTCTGCTGAGTGACGTAGGGCACATTGCTTCCCCTCTCTGGACTATAGCTCCTTCATCCAGTGCGGGGAAGGATGGACTAGAGGCTCCCTACGGTGCGCTCCCGCTCTGAGGTTCTGGGACTCGGTGGCCTAATTCTATTCTGACAGCAGCTAGAAGAGGCAGGCGGGCAGTTACCTTTCATCTCACAGATGTGAAGTCGCTCAGGGTCAGCGCCAGAGTCACTCGTGACCTGAAGGCAGTTTCCTGGTGCTCAGCCTGATATGCTTCCTTCTGACCTGGTTGCTTCTCCTGATTCCTTTATGTGCACGGTCAGAGCGCAACGTGGGAAGCTTCTTGATTAATCTGAGAGAGGAGCAGGATCCGTTGAAGGGGGAGAACTAGAGAATCAGACAGACGCAGGCTTGAAGCCTGGCCCTACCACTCCCTTGCCGCGTGACCTTGGCCAAGACGCTCTTAACTTCTTTAAGGTCTCGGTTCTTCCTCTGTAAGGTGTAGGTAATTACGGTGTCAAGTTCTTACAGTTCGTGAGAGAATGAAATGGGAGGGAATTTGCAAAGCCCCTACCAAGGTGCCTGCTACTCGGTGTCGACCAACCCGCGATAGCTGCCCTTAGCACGTCTGGGGGCCTCTCGGGGTTCGCCAGCGTAGCTGGTGGGGTGCCAGCTCACTGTGTGGCTTCTCAAAGCCCTCAGAAAGCACGGTGTCTTTACAGAATGCAAACACGTAAAGAAACCTCTCCAGGAGCCTCCGATCCCCGGCTGGGCTGGCTACCTCCCGAGAGCCAGGGTCACGGAATTAGGCTGTGCCACGAGGTACACTGTGATGGCCAGAAACTGCTACAGAGACTTCCTGGACCTCGTGGAGCAGGCCAGGAAGGCACCCCTGAAGCCATATGAGGAGTAAGTCTGGCTTGGGGCGTGGCTGCGGGTGACAGGAGCCGGGGCGAGAGCAGTTGTCGGTCTGGGGCGTTCCCGGATGCCCCATCCCAGCTCTAGGGGGCCTTTGGTTTGTTTTACAGAAGGGGCCTCGTTTGTAACGGGGGCCTTCAAGGTGGGCCGCTCCCCTCCACTCCCCACCCCACCCGCCATTTGCCAGAAGCCCTGCTTGCGGTCCTGGCTGGTTTGCAGGGCAGAGGCCGGGAGGAAAAACCAACAGGGCCACGTGTCCTGGCAGCAACCTACGGCCCAAGGGCACCGGGGGAGGGACATGGTGTGGCACCGCATAGGGCAGCTCTTTGGCCTCAGTTTTCCCTTCTGCAAAATGGAGATACGATAATCCTTTCATTTTAGGATGAATCGTAAGGACTAGAAAGAAACACGCTGTGCTCATGCAGGACGTGCAGAGATGGTATTTTTTCTATTATTAAAAAAAAAAAAATGAGTAAGTCTATGACTTCTGTTCTTCAGAATATATGGAGTCGGGTCCACACAGCCTCCTTCTGCTCCTTCTCCAAAGGTTTTGCAGCACCAAGGGCTACGGCCAAAATATCCGGAGTTTTCTATCCCAGGTAAGGGGGGGAGTCCTTCTTGCCTTCCTACTCCTTTTAAAAGGGGATGAAATGTTTGCGGAGCCTCCCTGCTTAGCTGGGCCATCTGCCTGCACCTGGTGGGGACGGTCTCTCTTCCAGGTGGTAGCTGTCCTGCCCACGGAAGACCCCTGACAGAGGACCCCAGGCCTCCAGTGACGTGTGGCTGTGCCCAGAGATCAACCATGTCCTGCAATGGGAAGATTTATCTAGAGCCTCTGTCCTCAGCAAAGTATGCAGAAGGCTGATGCAGACGGCCTCTCAAGGAGAGGTGAACTTCAAGGGGGGACTCCAAAGCTCACCATTCTTACATGAGAACCAGGCCCCGACCCACACCCAACAGGCACTACGGAACTTTCAAAATCTAAGAATCCTTTCGACTGCCACCTGCACCCTGTTTGGCAATAGCAAGTCTTTAATGATAAAGGCCTTTCATTGTGTGGGAATAAAGAAGATGCTTCTCAGCATGCTGAAGGTTTCTATGGCGAGGGGGGTTGCAGGTTACGTTGACATTCAGACGAGCTAGGGAGAGGCCCATCTCATCCTTACCTTGAGGTGACCGTGTGCACCTGGATCAGACTCTTCCTGAAACCCTAGCCCAGCCTCTCACCATCAGTCCCCATCAGCCATCTTGGGTCCTGACATGGCAGTTCCCACCAGTGGCACAGATGCCATGCCCAGCCAACCCTGCTGTCTCAGAATCCCAGTCCCCAGGCGACCCGGTGGCAGGCACGAGGTGTATTCATTTCATCGGGCTTCTGTGACACTGCCTCAGAGAGGCACCAAAAGATGACGGAAGTTTATTGCCTCGCAGTTCTGGAAGCTAGAAATCCAAGTTCAAGGAGTGAATAAGACCACACTACCTCTGCAACCTTAAGGGTGAACCCTTCCTTGCTTCTTTCCAGCTCCTGGTGGTGGTTTGCTGGCAATCTTTGGGCTTCCTTGGTACGTAACTATAATGTCTGTCTTTATCGTCCCGCAGCATCCCTCTGTGTCTTTCTGTCTTCGCATGGCAGTCTTCTTGAAGGACACCTGCAAAGAGCCTATTTCCAAATAAGTCATAGTCTTGCGTGCTGGGGGTTAGGACCTTGATATATCGTTTTGCGGGGACACAGTTCAACCCACAGCACGGGCTTGCCTCCTTCTGCCACTAACAGGCACTCTCTCTGACCTCGCTCGGCATCCGCTGGCACTCAGAAGGCCTCAAATGCAGCTCCTGGTGCAGTGAGACCACTGCAGGCATCAAAAGGCTCAGAAATGGGCGGAGCCAAAGGACACAGTACTGTACCGTTGGGGGTTTTGCCCAGGGTGGGAATTTTCACCAGGGTTCCCTGGGCAGAAATCAGGTGTCAGATCTTTACCTCTGATGAGTCGAAAGAGCTTTGATGAGAAAAAAATTACCTATTTGTTTTTATGAGCCTCCTAGTGGGACTCAGTATTCCCTTCTCTTATGCAACAAACCATAGCCGTACCTATCACCGTCACCTCGTCCTAATGGAAACCACAGATCTGTTGCTAGCATCTGACGTTTGTTGCAAACAGCTTAAAATAATGTCAGTGCAGATCACCACTTTATAATTATGTAGTTGTTCAAGCTACTTTCTCTACCCTCTAGTATATTGTTATTCAATCTATATATGAAGAAACACACGGTGAGCTCACAAATTTGTCCTATTTAATATTTTGACCATATTTCACATAATCTCACGTATTTGACCTGCTGCATCTAAAGCGTTGTGAGAAGACGCTCACAGCTTTTACCAGACAGCCAGAGGGGCCCTGGCACCGAAATGTTTCCTTGTTCAGGGAAACAACTGAGGATGTGCGTACGGGGTGATTATCATACAAAACAAAACAACAACCCAAACCCCGTAAGGCTTGGGATTACAATATATCCCTTTGTTAAAAAATAATGTGAGAGAAGAGTACTGCTATGGACAAATATTTATAATACAGGACATGAAAAACAGGACATAAAATGTGTAATAACAGCGAGCCCACGCGCGCGCACACACACACACACACACACGATGATCTTGTTTTTTATTTTAAAAACAGTTGTGGGAGGGGAGAGAATGCTAACCCGTGGTGCTACCAAATGGTTATTTGAATGATGATATATCACTAGTTATTTTTATTGTCTTGTGTGTGTGCTTTCCAATTTTTCACAGCCAACAGGTATTGTTTTCATAATCAGGAAAAAATGTTATTTTTAAAGATCTCGGCTGTTTTCATCTTCTTGAGATCGTATGTTTAAAAAAATTTTTTTTCAACGTTTATTTATTTTTGGGACAGAGAGAGACAGAGCATGAACGGGGGAGGGGCAGAGAGAGAGGGAGACACAGAATCGGAAACAGGCTCCAGGCTCTGAGCCATCAGCCCAGAGCCCGACGCGGGGCTCGAACTCACGGACCGCGAGATCGTGACCTGAGCTGAAGTCGGACGCTTAACCGACTGCGCCACCCAGGCGCCCCGAGATCATATGTTTAGAGGCAAAAAGCCATCTCTCAGTAGAAGGTAGCTGGCATCTTGTTCAAAGGGCTGGAAGAGACTATAGATAAGATTTTTTCCAACTTTCTTAAAACCCTGGGACCCCACTATCCAGAAAGGAAAGCAGGAGATAGATCCGTCACCTACCTGGGGCAGGTGGTCCAGCCTGCCACGCCTCTGCGGCACTCAGAAGAGAGCGACGCCAAAGAGGTGTCTTTCTGGTCACCTCTTCCAAACCCACAGAATTTGCAGATGATTGCTCTGGACTCAAAGTTATTTAGCTCTTTGCCCTTGAAATTAAGGGGTGCCAGGATTGAAATGATTCCTTGCAAGGAGCCCTAATCTTGATCTTATCTGCGGTATCATATAGCACATCAGTATTTAAGTCACTGACTAATCCATTTGGTACCACCTTTAAAAATTGGCTTCAAGTGTGAAACAAAAGCAAAAAACAACCACCCAGTGACAGAGGTAACGGAATGGAATAAAGGCAGTCAAGAATTGTTTCATAGTATCTAATTCTTCTCCAACTTCGTGATTCAGATCACCAAGTTCAATGTGCAAATCTGTAACTCCTTTTGTAGAAGCAGTTCCACACTGCAATTCTTTTCCTTAATCTTTGTCCTTGCTGTTTCTCTCTAGCCTATAATTTCTGGAGCGTCATCTGTCGGGGGAGGTAGGGAGGTGATTTTACCGCGCTGCAAATTATCATTATTAGCACAAGCTGCATCCGTAATGAGCTCATTCTTGCCACTAAAAACAATTCCATTACCTGATAAGACAAATTTCCGTGGGTCTGGAGACACTGAAGAAACTGAGGGTGAGGGTTTGCATGGTTGCTTTTAACAATGGGTGGGCCTTTTGTGGGATAGTTTGGCTTCTCTAGCATTAAAGTGCTCCTTTGTGGTCACTTCTTTATCTTCCTGTGTGAGAACCCCCCCAGAGGCCAGATACCGGGAGGAGATGGCCAGGTTTCTTGACCTCACTCCCCCATTCCACAGAGTAGTGACAGGCTGGCCCCAAACAGGATCTCGGTCACAGCTTTAACTTTGCTCCAGCCCAGCCACGAGGCCTGTGGCCAGGAGGTAGATCTCAAGTCTGTGTTTTTTTTCCTGGCTGTGTGACTCTGAACACTTTCCTTAACCTCTCTGAGCCTCAAATTCCTACTGTGTAAAATGAAGACAACAAAACAGGCCAGTCAGTAGCGCGATTGGTTATGAAGATGAAGAGATTAGGCAGGTACATCTGGTCCACACGTGCTTGGTAAATATTGTTATTGTTAATTACCATTAAGGTAAAGGGACCCGGGAACATTGCGGATGTAGGTTGGGGATGGGGGTGTTCTGTCTTTGAGCCCACCCAGAGAATTATTAACAGAAAACGGTTCAGAACCCGGGCTCCTGGCCACTAATAAAATGCCCTCTTCCCTGCTGTACATTTCTTCCAGGGACTCTACCCCAGGAGGGAGGCAGGACACGCATGATTGGCCAATAATAAAAACAGAAGCGGCTGCTAATGTCCTTACCTATGTCAGGCTCTGGCCTAAGTCATTTGCCGGGAATAGCTTATTTAAGGAATATTATTATAACCCTTTTGCTCTTGCAGATGAATAAACTGAGGCAATTTGCTCAGAAGCACATAGACAGTAAACGGCAGAGCCAGAACTTGAACCCAGGCCGTCTGAGGCCAGAGTCTGCCCACCTAACCTTCACGTCACATTGGCATGTCCTCCGTGGCCACTGTCACAGTAACGTGAACCACTGCTAAATGAGCCGTGGTTTCAACATCGAATCGATCCAGAAAGAAATGAGAGGATAAACGAGAAACACGGAAGTTTAAGAATGTGATAGAGCCAGTATAATGGGGCTCAGGATGTTGAGAGCCGGGCTCTGGGAGGGGGTTGGGGGGGGTGGGGGACTTCACGCGGGTTTGTGCCATGTGACTACTGGGTGATCTGGAGGGAGAAACTCGACCACTCCCAGCCTCAGTGTTCTGTTATAAAGTGATGCTTCCTTCTTCATGAGGTTGAGAGGATGAAATGGAATCAGGCACACAAAGGGCATGGCAGGGCGTTTTGCAGGCACAAGACTCACGGGCTAACCTTGACCAAGCTGGAGGCTCTAGAAAAGAAAAGCGACAAATCAGGGCCCCTGGGTGGCTCAGTCCGTTAAGTGCCTGACGATTTCAGCGCAGGTCCTCATCTCACGGTTCGTGAGATCGGGCCCCGCCTCAGGCTCTGAGCTGACAGTGCAGAGCCTGCTTGGGATTCTCTCTCTCTCTAACACCCTCTCTCTCTCTCTGCACCCCTCCCCCACTCTTTCTCTCTCTCAAAATAAATAAATAAACTTTCCAAAAAAAAAAATAGGAAAAACAAAAAGGCGGAAGTTAAAAGGTTTATTTAAGGCCAGAGACTGGAGGCCCTGATCTCCCTGCCCTGCTCCTGGGCCTTGCTCATCAGCCCCTCTCCCACCCCAAGAGTTTCAAGAGCCGGGGTCTTGGCTCATTTCCCAAAAGGCCCCTGAGTTCCTCAAGCTTATTACCCCCCACCCCACCGCCCCCTGGCCTCTTCCCCAACAAATTCCCTGAAGTTTCCCCTGGTGCTCAACCCAGAACCAGTGCTCCACAAGCGTGAGCCATCATCAGGTGAGACGACCCAGCAGGGAGGGTCCCCAACTGCCCCCTCCTCGAAAGCCTCTGTTTTTCAGCTGAGGGGGAGGACTTGGTGGGGAGAGTGGGGTCTACCAGCCTCCATCAGTCTTCCAAAAGTAGGCCCCACAAAGGAGGCTAATGTGTCCCCAACAACAATCCACGTTCATATTTGGATTCAAACCAGATTTGTTTGGATTCTCCAAAGGCTGAGGGGGAACATGTACCCCTACCTTTCCCGATCAGCCTGGGGTACTGTCAGGAAGGGCCACCAGGCATTCCACGGCCCGAAGGACCTGAACAGCCAGCCTCAAGGTCTTTTAGGCCTCAT